CTATTAGCTTGTAACCAGTCATGTTTAACATATATGCCCCACTCTCCAGACACCCAAGATATTTGGAAACCAGTCAGGGGCATAATATGATTTCATATTCATAAACATTTCTGTATGTATTTATACAGGAGAAAGACTATGACAACTACAAAGCATCTGCATTAGTTACTGTTCTGCTGCTGTGATGAAATACCATGACCAAAAATGACTTATGGAAGAAAGAGTTTATTTTGGCTTATGGTTCCAAAGGTAGAGTTCATAATAGCAGGGAGGCAGGGCAGCAAGCAGCAGCCATAAGAGTTGAAAGCTGAGAAATCACATCTCCATTAACATGAAGGAAGCAGAGAGAGCAAACTGAAAGTGGGGCTAGGTTAGGAACTCTCAAATCCCATCCCCAGTCACACACTTCCTCCAGCAAGGTTGCACAACCTAAACCTCCTCAAATAGCACCACCAACTGGGGACCAAGTGTTCAAATACTTGAGCCTATGGAGAACATTTATCACTCAAACCCCCACATTCCATTCCCTGGCCCTTTAGGCTTATAGCCATAACACAAAATGCATTTAGTCCAACTTTAAAAGTCCCAATACTCTTCGACACTGTTCAAAAGTCCAAAATCTAAAGCCTCTTCTGAGACTCAAGGCAATTTCTTAATTATAACTCCATGTACAATAAAAAAGACAAATTACATGCTTCCAATATGCAATAACACAGACCACACATTTCCATTCCAAAATGGAGTAACGAGGACATAGTGAGGAAATACTGGACCAAAGCAAGAGAAAAATTCAGCAGGGAAAACACCAAATCTTGTAGGTCCATATCCCATATCTAGAACTTTAGTTTCAAAGGACTTAGCTGGCTCTTCCCCTCTAGCTTAGTTGCCTTCAGCATACATATCTCTCTTGAGCTGGTTCAACTCCATGTATGCAGCTCTCCTTGGCAGAGGTCTCACAGCTCTAGCATCTCCATCATCTTGGGATCTTCACCAGGAGCCAGATTCACTTTCACAGCATCACACGATGGCTTCTCGGGGCCTCCTTGTAGCAATTCCAGTGCTGGCACGTGTTGCTTGGCCTCAGTGGCTTTCTGAAAGCTTGAAAGAAAAATCCATGAACTCCTCACTCCTGCTTTTTTCATGTCCCTAAAGCCAATACTACATAGACAACACTGCCAAGTTTGATTGCTAGTTTAAAATGGAACCTCCCCCTTTGAAGCATGTTTGCAGCGGCTTTTGTCTGAAGTTATTTTCTAGGAGCAGAAAATCCCATAGACTCTCTTTCACAAGTTGGAAGCTTAGCTGGGTGGGGTCTTGCCCTGAAGTCACCCTTTCCATTGGTCCAGTGAAGAGCAAGAGGCCTCTCCTTAAAGGCACTAACCTTAATAGTTAGAACCTTTCTTCCAGCACATGTCTTGGATGTAACATTAAGCTTCCTAGTTCTCTCTTTTCTCTCCAAAGTGTACATTTTGCATTTCTTCTTTACTTGCTCTTTCTTATTGTAGACATGCATCAGAATTATCAGTAATAACCAATTCACAGATTCAACATTATGCTGTCTTAAAATTTCCTCTGCCAAAGAAATTAGATCATTTGTGTTTTGGGGGGCTGGGGAGATGGCTCAGTGATCAAGAGCACTGACTGCTCTTATAAAGGACCCAGGTTCAATTCCCAGCACCCACATGGTGGCTAACAGCCATCCATAACTCCAGTTCCAGGGGAATCCAGTGCCCTCTTTTTACCTCCAAGGCATTGTATGACATGTGTGAACTTACATACATCCAGGCAATATGCTCATAGACATAAAATAAAAATAATTAAAATATTTAAAAAATTAGTCCTTTTTAATTTAGCCTCAGGTAAGTTCTTAAGACATGAACAGAAGGCAGCAAGATTCTTTGCCAAAATATCACGTGAATGGCCTTTAGTCTAATTGGTAATAGAGACCTTGTTACCGTCTGAAACCTCATGAACCACACCTCCACAATCTTCATTATTCTCAGCACTACTGTCTTCCAGGCTTCTACTAGAACAACAAATAAGATCTGCTAATAATACTCAACTGCTTTTTTAAAAAATTATTTTTATTTTATGTATATGAGTGTATTGCCTACATATAAGTGAGTGCACCCATGTTGTGCAATGCCATGGAGGTCAGAAGAGGGTTTTGGAGTCCCCTGGAACTGGAGTTAAGGACGGTTCATAGCCGCCATGTGGGTGCTGGGAATTGAATCCAGGTCCTCTGCAAGACCAGTCAGTGCTCTTGACCACTAAACCATCTCTCCATCCCCTCAACTGCTTTTTTAGTTCAGACTTCCAAAGTCCTCAACATTCATCAACAACAATAATAGCAACATGGTCAGGTTCTTCACAGCAACCAACCACTCTCTGATACCTACTTCTGTACTAATTACTTTTTTGTTGCTATGGTGAAATGCCATGAGCAAAAATGACTTATGGGACAAAGAGTTTATTTTGGTTACAGCTCCAGAGGGAAAGTCCATAATGACAGGGAGGCATGACAGGAAGTGACAGGAACAGAGGTTGGAAGCGAGGAGATCACATCTCATTACTGATCGTCTCTTGCTTCCCTGAGTGCTGAAATTAAAGGCTTGCACCACCGTACACATTTTTATGGGATGCTGAGAATCAAACCCAGGGCTTTGTACATGCCTGGCAAGCATTTTCACAACTAAGCTATATCCCCAGCCCTGGGTTATAGATATTTTTGACAGACTACTGTCTTTTGATTATGATTACAATAGTGTTTCTTTATCACTACAGTCTATTAGCAAATGGTTCCTTTACAGTTTCTGGGGTTTGGGACATTGTTTGAAAGGCCTAACATATTCCAAAACTGCTAAAAATCATAAATTGTGGGGCTGGAGAGATGGCTCAGCAGTTAAGAACACTGGTTGTTCTTGCAGAAGACCTGGGTTTGAATCCCAGAATCCACATGGCAGCTAACAACTGTCTGCAACTCCAGTTCCAGGGGATCCTCTTCTGTCCTCCACAGGCATTGCACAACATGGGTGCACTTACCTACATGCAGGCAATACACGCATATACATAAAATAAAAATAATAAAGAAAGAAAAAAACAAGTTGTGAATTTCACGTTTTATAATTTCCCCTCCTTCTCCCTGTCTCCTTCCCCTTTCTCCTCCTTTCCTTACCCCTTCCTTTCCTCCTCACCTATTCCTTTTTTGTATGGAATACTCTGCTCACTTTGATGTACAGATCAAGCTTTTATTTCTTGCCAGATGTCATCTGGATACTATTTAGACTGACTCATCTTTTCCCTAATGGTCTGGAGTGGCATATCGCATACTGAGTGCATTTGAGTCTGCTTCTGAGTTCCCTGCTTCACTCCAGTGATCACTTCTTTGTCAGTACATTGATTCAATCCTGTCAAGCCTCCACTGTAGTGGCACTCAGCACATTACACTTCTTGAAGAGCTGTGTGAAGCAAAGTGGTCTACGGTCTTCCACATAGGTAAGTTATCATTGCATAACACATTAAGCAGCCTCAGTGGTTTCAAGTGAGACCCAGGATTGTTCACACTACTATGGGATATGCTGGGCTGACTTCAGCTGGGGTGGCTCTGCTCTAGGTAACTGTTTTTCTGTCTCCAGGGCAGCAGGTGAGCCTAGGCATGCAGCCCTTTTGGCAATGGCTGAACACAGCAGGGACAGAGGCCCCACAGGCCAGGCTGTATCATTTTATTGGTCATAAGCCACAAAGCTGAACCAAAATTCAAGGGCTGAGGAAGTCTCTTTTGCTGCAAAGGAGATACAGTAAGCGTGTGAATGCAGAGGGCAAAAAGCCACAACCCTAGTCTCCTATAGGCACTGACAGGGTACTTAAATGAGGATGCCTCTACAGAAAAGTCCAGGTCCTTGTCTAAAAGTAAAGAAAGTGAAGAGCTGGTAATTTATATCTGACTTAACTTCCATTCATAAAGTTTAAGTACAGGGGCTAGAGAGATGGCTGCTCTTACAGAGGACCCAGGTTAGGTTCCCAGCACTCACATGGTGGCTCACAACTGTCCATAACTCCAGTTCCAGGGGATCTAATGCCCCTCTTCTGCCCCCGCAGGCATTGCATAACACAGATACACTTACACAGATGCAGGCAATACACTCATACACATAAAATAAAATAATGAATAAAATATTTTTTAAAGTATAAGTACAAAGAAAGACCAGAAAGAATTTATTATCCATGAATATGTCTCCAATAATTAACAAATTAATGTTTTTACATAGTTGCTCCTGATATTCTTTTTTTAGAAACAAAGTATTTTAGAGCTTAAGTGGTCTATACACCTCTCCACAGTTCCTTTCCTGTCCCTTTCTGGAGGTCACTACCATCCCGAGTCAGTCTGTGCTGTGTGCTTTTGCATATTTATTACATGTGCAGTATTCATGAAGATCAATACTTTGTTTACAAGATTTAAAGAAATGGTACCCTACTCTATATGTCACTCTAAGTGCTTTTTCATTCATAGTATATTTATAAAAATCTAACTAATATTTATAGTCTTCACTTAAGCTTTTATGCACCAATGTACGACTATATCATAACTTAAACACATTTACCCTACTGATTGATGCTTTGGGTATTAATTTCCATTATTAAAAACATTTAAGATCACAAATTCAAAAGATATAATCTTATGAAAATGCTAAATTGCCTATATTTTGTAAATAAAATCTAACTGAACAGATGCTTTTTAAAAACCACCAAACCTAGGGTATCCCTATGCCGATGTTATGGACTCCTACATTGCTCATGGTCAATCCTCTTCTGAAATATATGCTACCCATTGAAAGAAAGATCTACAGCACAGAACGTGAGCAGACAGCCATCCTTCATGTGTTCATCTTCCTTGTAGCCCCAATCCACAGACCGCCAGTCTTCACCTAGCCTTATCATTGCCTGTTAATATTTAGTCAGTATTTCCATTACACGGGCTGTGCCTTCAGATCAAAGGCTTTTCCAAGTCCTACATGCAATCAAATAACCATCCACAGAATGCTAGCCTTTGCCTTGCTTGACTCTATTTTTCATGTCTCACACTAAATTAGTGAGAAATATAGGATTCTAAAACTAAATTACCAGAGACTGTTAATTCTTCAAAGAGTGTGAGGGCATTTCTAATTGGCGGGAGAAACACCTAAGAAGCAAAATCCAGATGTTTTCTGCAACCCTGCTGCTGTCCGTGGCTTTGCTTTCCACTGGTAAGTCAAAAGGACCTTAGAAGCTGGTTAATTTCAACACAGGGATTTCAAAGTCAATGATAGCAGAATTGTTACATAAATTTGCATATTAGTACTAGAAATTGGAGTAGGTTAGGTAAATAGTATAGGGAGGGGGGATTTCTCATGAATTTCTTCCTCATGTTCAGATTCTTCAGTGAGGAAATGTAAGCATGGTGTTGGAAGACTTTCAGAAAAGTCTTCCGAATGTGGTCTGGAATTTAATTAGGAAAACAAACAAACAAACAGAAAACACTAAAAAATAAAAATCTTGAGTAAGAATTGGACTTGGAAAACTCCTGAGAGTTTGCAGAGCCTGGATTGGGTCAAATGGAATGCTCTCGTGACACTCACAGCAGGCAAGACGAATGAATAGATGAATGCCTCAGTTTCCCAGCGTGAATGTCAGGCCCAGAGTGTTGCTGCTGCACCCTGGTCAGGGGATTGATGTAAAGCGTGGCTCTATGGTAGAAGGCAGTTGGAATCCAACGTAAGTTATAGTAAAGGCTGCGCTTCATGTCCTTATGCTGCAGCTTCTCTTCACAGAATGTCTATTAGCGAAGAGTAGACTATCTTCAAATAAAATCAGTCATCAAATTATCAGGCTTTGGTTTTGCTTCTGCTTTTGCTTCAAAGTGAGAGGTTGAAATTGCTACCTGTGCCTTTGTGTGTTTTAACACTGGGAATCAGGAAATTGATAGTGTTTATGATATTAAAGAGTAAGGTGCCCTTAGTATATACACAATACACTGATAGCCCTATCTCCTCCATGTTTTACCATTTCATAGCCTTTCATACAATCACTTTCACTCCCTTCCCAACTTTTCTTCCGACCTCAATTTAGGTTGAATGTGGCTTGATACTTTTAATTAGTTCCCAAATTTCCTCTTGTCTGAAAATATGAGATTTATCTCATGTTGAATAAACTTGGTTAGTTTAGAGTGTGCTTCAGCTATGAGTCAAACATTTGCTTGGATGTCATTCTTAGAATTAATTATAGAGCACTATTTCAAAGTTACTTTAGGATTCCTAAAGTTATTTCATTGAGCTGTTTATTTATTTGTCTTTTTTGAGACAGGGTCTCCCTGTAGCCCCAGTTGTCCTGGAACTCACTATGTAGACCAGGCTGGCCTTGAACTCACAGAGATCCGCCTGCCTCTGCCTCCGAGTGCTGGGATTAAAGGCGTGTGCCACCATGCCCGGCTGTGCTGTTTATTTTTTTTAAATTTTATTTGTATTTTATGTTTATGAGTGTGTTGCCTACATATATGTAAGTGCATCCATGTCATGCAATGCCTGTGGAGGTCAGAAGAGGGCATTTTATTTCCCTGGAACTGGAGTTACAGGCAGTTGTTAGCTGCTTTGTAGGTGCTGGGAATTGAACATGGGTCCTCTGCAAGAGCAGTCAATGCTCTTAACCACTGAGCCATCTCTCCAGGCCTGTTTATTTATTTTTTTAATTTTATTATTTTTATTTTATGTGTATGAGTGTATATGTATGTATATATGTGCATGTATATAAGTGCACCTGTGTTATGCAATGCCTGTATAGGTCAGAAGAGGGCATCAGATCCCCCGGGAACTGGAATTATGAATGGTTGTTAGCTGTCACGTGGGTGCTGGGAATTGAACCTGGGTCCTCTGCAAGAGCAGGTAGTGTTCTTAACCACTGAGCCATCTCTCCAGCCCCTGTACTGTTTATTTTTGGTTAATCTAAGCATGGTGGGTCCCCATATCCAAAAACAAACAAAGGAAACTTGAAAAGGACAATTAACACCATTTATTCATGAATAAATTGAAACAATGTAAGATGATGGAGTTAGTGCTTGTAAATAAGTATTTTATATGTTTTATAATAGAATTCTATACTGGGGAAAAACAAGTTTTTTATCTAAATATGTAAAACTCTGTAAGAAAAATTTTCCCATATACTCCAAAAAGAAGGGGAAAAGAGATCTCAGTGTCCCCACAGAGATGCCTAAAAGCCCCATCTTTCTCCTTTGCAGCCCTGGCTGGACCATGGGTTAATATATGTGCTGGCACATCTTCCAACCAGATCCGGACATGTGACAGCTATGGCTGTGGACAGTACTCTGCTCAAAGGTAGGAGGGTTCACAAACAGCAGCTAGCCTTGTTGGTCCCTTGCGTCTGTTTTTGTGTTGTCTTCGCCCTGTTTCCCAGAGGGCTCACAATAACCTCCCTCTGACAGCATAAAAACCCAGAAACGTGCAACATTACTGAATTTGGAGCAACTTCCAAGATTCTGTTTCACGGACAGACTCTGAATTAGAGACAGAGCAGGAAATAAGGGAAAAAGAGAAGGGGATAAAAACAATGTTTTCCTTCTCAGATTCTCCACACACTGACTTACCTCACCTAGTTTTCCAACGTGAAAATCAAACATTATTGCATTTTATAGACACAGTCCTAAAGTTTCAATAACGTGCACTCCCTGGAGGGCACTGTTGGTGGAATAGCCATGTGTGCAACCCTCACATTGGTCTCCTTACAAAGCAACACCAAATACCAGAGATAAGACTGAGATGGAAAGCAGGAAAAAGGCCTCAGCACTTCCAGAACTGACTGACTGCATACTACAAAGTTTGTACACAACTTACACAATAAGTCCTTGGCTCTTCCCTTGGACTTGATCAGTGTTGCCTTACAATTCTAATGGCCCCATCCTTGTGGATCTCATAGTTTGGTAATGCCTGCTGTAAGGGAGAAAAGCCAGGCAGTGAGAGCAGCGGAAAGCCAGAGTCACGGGGTCAGGGAGACAAACTCAAGAAACCTCACAATCTAGAATCATTTTGTTTGTGCTCCAGGCTGTTTAGCAAACCTAGGAAGTATACCTTACCGCATTAAAATACTGTATGCAGTATGAGGTTCACAGTGACCTTTTCACTGTGAAAAAAATAAGACTAGGGGAACATGTGCTACTTACACAATAAACTCCCATAAAAGGATAACTCTTTATAAAATGGTTGTGAAGGGGGTTCGGTGTGTTGGTCAGTGGTACAGCACTTGCCTAGTAGCTGAACCCCAACTCTGAAAAATGAAATCTAGAAGGGAATGATTCAGATAGCTATAAAATGTACTTACACACTGGGTCTGGAGAGCTAGCTCAGCGGTTAGGAGCACTGACTGCTCTTGCAGAGGACCTAGGTTCAGATCTCAGCACCCACATGATGGCTAACAACTATCTATAACTCCAGTTCCAGGGGATCTGACACCCTCTTCTGACCACCACAGGCACTACACACACACACACACACACACACACACACACACACACAGAGTGCACTTACATACATACAAGCAATACACTCATACACAGAAAATAAAATAATCAAATATTCTTTAAAATACTTGCATGCTTTATCTCCTTTCCTCAAAATATTATATAATACTAGTCAAGGTATATCATTTAGCAAATACTATTTTAAATTCTTTAATCATTGTAACATGTTTATTGGTACTTATGGGGAGAGAGGTTAAAACTAGGCTAAACAGAGTAAGGACTCCTGGGGCCCTGCATGTTCTGGCAGCTTCAGGTTTTGAAGTCTAAGGCTAGGAGCTGTGGGCTAATACAACAGGCCTGGCAATAAAGTTCCCTGAGGTCCTCAGGTCCTCAAGTATGCTATTTCTTATACCCTAGAAATCAGAGGCATCACCTGGGTGTGGATGTCCTGTGCTCAGATGGATCTGTTGTGTACGCACCATTCACTGGGATGATAGTAGGCCAGGAGAAACCCTACAAAAATAAAAACGCCATCAATAATGGTGTTCGGCTATCTGGAAGAGGTAAGAGAGATTGTATACAGATCTGGGGCACCTTCGTAGGTGCTGATGCTTATTTATTTAATGTGGGTTTCATACACAGAAGTTTTATATTTCTTTCAAATGATAAGATCTAGGACATACAGGATATACCAAGCAAAAACAGCAGATACATTTCAAAGGTGTTCTGATAATGTTCCTGAAACCTGTTTTATGCGTACAACTCACCAAATCCACTATATTGACTAAAGCTGTTCCCTTCTGTAGCCCAGGCAGCTTTTTGTAAGAAATTTTTTTCCAAACAAAATTGCCTTCAGAAGTCATGGGCACAATGAATGCACACTTTGATTTACCAGACTCTCACAACTTGCAAACGTTAGCATTTCTGCAATAATTGAATGTGAATTGTTTCCAAATGCTGCTTTGCTCTGGGTAAGGCAAGGGGCTCCCCCTACTCTAGGTATTGGATTTGCTGTTTGGGAGATACAACACACAAACCCCCCCAAAAAACAAAAACAAAACAAAACAACAAAAACCTGTGCACAGTGTGTAAGAGCAGAGATTCACGAACAGTTACGAAGTGAGCACACTGGGTAGCCAGCATGGGGATCAAGGCAGAGCTCTCTATGCTAGCGTTCAGCCGCTGTTCTTAGCATGGGCAGTCACTATCTCAGCACCACACATTAGTTTGGCCTGTTTTGAAAGATAAGGGAATTAAGCCACATGTGCTTTTTGTGAGACTTCTTGCATTACATATCATGGTTATGAGAGTCACTCATGTTCTTGCATCTATGCTAGTTTTTTTTTTTTTAGAAATACAAATAGAGACACTTTATTAAGAGATAGAAAGTATTCCCAATAATGAGAATGCCTACTAAGCTGAGGGTAAAGACTCATTCTTTTTTATGTATATGCATTTTACTATTCATCCATCTTTCCTTAAATGGACATTATAGTAATTTCCAGTTCTGGGTGACTGGGAAAATGCTGCTAAGGATTTTCTCAGTACTTATTTGTGGTATCAAGGATCAATCCCAACACAGTGGGCATGTCGGACAAATGCTCTGTCAACAAGCCATATTCACAGTCCTTCTTGTACTGTTAAAAACACATTCCTGTGTACAGATGCCTGTGTGCATGGACATGTGCATGTTGACATCAGGGGACAACCTTGGCTGTTGTTCATCAGTAGCCATCTACCTTGTTTTGTTCTTTAAGTTTTAAACATATTTATGTGCATGTGTGTGCACGTGTGCTATGCACAGGTGTGGAGGTGAGGAAACTGTAGGAACTGGCTGTCTCCTTCTACCAGGAATCAAGCTCAGGTTGCCAGGCTTAGCAGCTAATGCTCTTTCCCGCCGAGTCATCTCACTGCCCATACTTTTTATTATTTTCCTAGACAGGGTCTTTCATTGGCCTGGAGCTCATCAATTAGCCTAAGCTGGATGGCCAGCAAGTCCCAGGGATCTTCCTGTCTCTACTTCCCAGTGCTGGGATTACAAGTGCACTCCACCATGCTTGGCATTTTTACATCAGTTCTTGGAGATGAAACTCAGGTCCTCAAGCTTTCAAGGCAAGCATGTTATAGAACAAGTTGTCTCCTAAACCTTGATCTTACACCTCTTAATGATCACATACACTCCTTCCTATGGGAGTGTGATGGTTAATTGCCACTGCCAGGTTGATTGGATTTAGAGTCGCTAGGAGACACACTCAGTGGAATTGTTTCCAGAGAGGAAACTGAGGAGGGACAACCCATCCATCCCATGGGCTAGGAGCCCAAACTGAATAAAGGAGAAGTGGGAAGCCTGATGAGCATCGGCATCCTCCTCTCTGCTCCCTGACTACAGATGCAATGGGAGCAGCTGCCTCGGGCTCCCATACCTTCCCTGCCATGATGGGCTGTATCCCTTTAATCTGTGAACCAAAACAAATTCTTACCTTCAGTTGCCTTTGTCAGGAATTTTTTTTGTCACAGTAGTGAGAAAATAACTAGTAAGGGGGAAAAAAGGTTCTGGAGGACACCTCCTTGCCAAGGCTCTGAGGGAACCCAAGGCCCTCAGGAGGTATTCGAAATGGCTGTTTCTATAGCTAAAATGACAACCAAAACTGGGCTCTCTGAAGTGGTGGTACTTCATAGCCAAGCCAAGCTCAGTGTGGTCACCTAATAGGCATCAAAGTTGAGGCAGTGATCAGACTCATCTGAACCTCAGACAGACCCTGGTGACCCTAGAACTGAACAGATGGACAGCCTGCTAAAGCCTTATTGGTTTGGCATAAGCAGAAATGCTATGCCTCATAAAAAGAATTCCAGCATCATTCATTACAATAATGGTTTCAAACTCCAGCTTCTGACTTGAGTCAGTTCAGTCCCAGGGCCCCTTGAGAGTTCAAGTCTAAGGAAGCACCATGCCACACTGTCAGAAATTTATGCTGTAAACCTTATTCTATCCTCTCATTCCTAGAGGATTTGTAACCATTTAGCAGGACTGTACACTGGGTGAGTAAGGCTTTTTCAAGTTTTTGGTATGTTTATTCAAAACTGACACTAATTCCTGGAAGTCTGAAAGGCTACATTGGTGAGCCAAAATAAATCCTCCCTCCGGTCAGTCTAGGGGATCAGAGAGTCAGCTGATCAATGTATTTGTGCACAAAGGTCCATCATAAAGTGGGCCCAGTGTATCTTCTGTCTACCCATGGTTACTTCCATGGCTCTAGAATGCAACAGTCAGCACACAGCACTTAGCAGAGTGCTAGGTCACATGGAACATGGGCATCTTCAACTGTAGTAGATATTGCCATGCAGCTTTCTGAAGTAGGTGTTCTGATTTGCACCTCTGCCGAGAGTTCCAGATGCTCCACAAGTGCTTGCTTTTACTTCTGCTGCCATTCTGACATGTGCATGACGTCTCAATGTGGTCTCTTTAAGATTTTATTTTATTTTATTTTATTTTATTTTATTTTATTTTGGTCTTTTTGAGACAGGGTCTCCCTGTAGCCCCAGCTGTCCTGGAACTCACTATGTAAAGCAGGGTGGCCCTGAACTCACAGAGATCTGCCTGCTTCTGCCTCCTGAGAGCTGGGATTAAAGGCGTGCGCCATCACGCCTGGCTAAGATTTTATTTTTATGAGTTATTTCATATTATGTGCATGCAGTGCCTGAAGAAGTCAGAAGGGGGCGTTGTATCCTTTAGAACTAGAGTTAAGGACTGGTGTTAGTCACCATGTGGGTACTGGGAATGGAACCTGGGTCCTCTGGAGGAGCCACAAGTGCTCTTAACTGCTGAGCCAAATCTCCAGTCCCCCTCATTGTGGTTTTAATTTGCTTTTCCCTGATAGTTAAAGAAATTGTTACAGTAGCCAAAAGCTCCATTAAAAAAAAAAAAAGAAAGAGTACATGAAGTTATCAGAAAAATGTGATGGGAAGATATGGGAGGAGTTGGAAGGGAGGGAGTGGGCATGGATTTGATCAAAATACCTTATATGCATGTATGAAATTCTCAATAAATTATTTAAAAGAAAAGAAATTGACATCTTTTCATATTTACTGATAACAGGGATATAATTCTTTATAATATGTTTATACAAATATTGTGCATATTTTCTACTGGACTGTCCTTTTACTGGTACATTTGATACATGGGAGCTCTTCCATATATATGTGTGTGTGTGTGTGTGTGTATAAAATCTTGTCCCACTTTGTGATATGCCTTTTCACTTTCTTAATGTCTTTTTAACAGACAGAAACTATTTTTAATTTGTCCAAATTTAATCAATAATTTAGTTAACTTACTTTGATCTGCCAACCCCGAAGACAAGCGTTACTATGTCACACTAATATTTAGACCTATTATCCATTTACAATTGACTTGTGCAAGACATGAGATATAAATTAAGTTTTTTTTTCTCATACCGTTTTTTTCTTTTCAAATCAATTAGCATAATCAGATGCCAGTTTCCACAAATCCTGCTGGGGCTTTGACTGGATTTGCAGTTCACATATAAAAGAACTGGTATCTTTAAACTAATGGTCCTTCAATCAATGAATACATTATATCTTCCCATTATTTAGATTTTCAACTATTTTACTGGTTTTTAGCATAGAAGTCTCACACATCTTTTAATATATGCATAAGATATACCTTATGGAGTTTGCTTAGCTCTCCTGTTGTCAGTACTACTCAATAGAAATATAACACAATTTGAAACTGCATATTTTCTAGCAGCCCAATTAAAGAAAAATAAACACAAAATTTATTTTACCACTTTATTCAACCCAGCATCTCCAAATTATTATTCTAAATGTGTCATTATGATAAAATTATTATATCTGGATATGGTAGTTCACACATACAATCTCAGGTCCTGGGAGACTGAGGCAGGAGGAGCCATATGTTCCAGATCTACAGAGCCAGGTCCTATCTGAAACAACGAAATGAAAATACAAAAACTGTCAGCCAAGCCATAATTCTAACATAGAATATCTGCCATAGCCACACAGGGAGACTTTGTTAAAAAGCAAACAAAACTATTGAAATATTTTTCTTTTTACACTAATTGTTTAAAATGCATTGTATGTTTATTGTGAGGCAAATCTACCTTCAGATTAGCTACATTTTAAGTGATTGCCTTGTGGAGCTAGTGGCTACCACATTAGGTAGTACAGTTCTATAGCTTTACTTCCCCGACCTAACCCCACTTTACCTGTCTGCACTGACAGTGGTGCATTAGTCTCTTTTCAGAGGGTTTCTACTTCGCCCTTCATCTCTGTGGTCTCTGCCTCACAGGATGGCTTCTGTATCATTCAGAGCATGAACAGCTCTAACAGCATAAACACTGTGAATTGGCACTTGGCATAAACATTGTTCCTCCTTGTTTCAGTGCCTTTTGGCCTGCATTCCACTCTCTGAGAACAAGATCGTGATCCTTGCTTTCTCCATGGCAAATCTTTGTCTAAGTCTTTATTTTGGGCCCTTTTGATCACTGTGTGATCTATACAACATAGAATAGGGGTTTGCTTTTCATGTAATCAGGAAAGTTTTAAGAAGACAAGTCCATTCACACTTATAGATGATTCATACCCATGATCCCAACACAACCATGCTAGTCTGATTACCACACCATGCTATTTCTCTACTTGGTACTGTCTTGAGTTCTTTTGAAACTTAGGAAAGTTTTTCTTCCTGTTACTTCCATTTTCCTTTTTCAGCCCTAACGGTTTTATTAGAATGTATATGAGCCTCGGGGTTGACACTGTTCTGGGTCAGTTTTCCACTACCTCAGACTATTCTTCAACACCTTATTTAACTTTTATTTGAATCTTTCTCCCTCTGGCATCTTGTAATTTTAGTCACATTTTACAACAGAATTCTGTCGTCTTTTATTCCCCCAGAGTTCATTTATTTCTATTTCTTTTTTATTTTTGTTCACTTCTGTTCTTGTGTTTTAAATTTGTGTATGTGCACATGTGTTTTGTGTATATGAGTGTGATTGCATGTATGTGTAGACCAGGGGTCAGTTTCAGGTGTCACCCACCTTGTTTTTATTTTTTTATTTGTTTTTTGAGACAAGGTCTCTCATTGGTCTGATGCTCACCTAGTAGGTCAGGCATGCTGGTAAGTGAGCATAGGAATATGCTCGTCTCCACCTCCCCAGGCCAGAGTTTACTGATGTGTGCTGGTAATACTCAGTGTTCTCACTTGGGTTCTAGGGCTAGAACTCAGGTCCTCGTGCTTGCAAACAAGTACTTTATCAACTAAGTTATCTCCTCAGCCCTGTGTTTGAAATTTCTGACTCATAGCTATTAAAGCACAAATAATACATTTATTTTCTTTTAGGTTTTTGTGTCAAAATTTTCTACATTAAACCAATCAAGTATAAAGGTTCTATCAAGAAGGGAGAGAAACTGGGCACCCTGCTGCCCTTGCAGAAAGTTTACCCTGGCATACAGTCACACGTGCACATTGAAAGCTGTGACTCGAGTGATCCTACTGCATACCTGTAAGCAGACAAGGACAGACCTTGTACATACAAAGCCATCTTAGAAACCCGGACCCAACCCTGCTCCTGAAGAAGTGTGTGTTCAAACAGAAACATGGTAAACACAAGAAAAACAGAATCTTGATTCCAACTCACTGTCACTTTGATTCATGGGTGTAAACTATTTTCTTGGGGTTCTCTGATCTTTCTGTCAGAACCAGGTGCTTTGTGGGTTCAGTGTTTAAGTCCTGAAGACCAAAATAAACAAATAAATGAGTTCAAACAGGTCCAGACTTTTGGCACATCTGAGATAGCCACTTTCCTGCCTAAAACTGACAGAGTCTAAAGCTTTCTGTGAGACATGAATGAGGAGCAGCTTGGTGCAATGTACTGAATGAACAGGAGCTGATCAAACTTGAGGCTTCCTTTCAGCAGGGCGATGAAGACTCTCAGCAATACCCTTAGGCTTGTTAAGCTGGGTGGAGGGAGAGCTAGTTACATGGGCAAGAAAGAATCTTCTGGTCTTTCCATCTATACCTTTTCATATTCCATGAGAGTAACAGTTTCCTAGGTAACAAGTTATGGCATACTCTAGAAAAAAATGCACAATCTAGACTTCAGTGAGGTTGCAGTACAGGCAGCATTAGAACAAGAAAGAAGAATACATTTAACTAAAGTGCCTCATGAAACTAAGTCAGCCCCATCTAGCAACACTCCATGAACATCGTAACCTATTTCCATACGTCACTGTAGGCAATTATACAATCATAATATACAATTTCTTGTTGCTGACAAGAAATACTAAAAGAAAACATAATCAAAGGTGCAAAGAAACAGAAATAATTCTGGCTTTAAAGATTTAGTTGGTTGGTAAGAAATGAATAAACTGAATTGGTCATCTGGACACTTTCTTCATGAAATTTTGCCTAAATTCTTTTGAAATGTAGAGTGATTCCATTCTTATGTGTCCATACGGTAACGGAAAGACAATTAATTGAACTTTATTACTAGAGAAATGACTCCATTTATATTCCTACATAGAAGAATGTTCATGAGAGACAGGCAGATCTCTGTGAGTTCAAGGCCAGCCTAGTCTACAAAGCAAGCTCCAGGCCAGCCATAGTAAAACCAGGAACAATCCAAATGCCCATTAACAGTGACAGAATTTAAAAACGAAGTCATAGTTATAGAACCAAATATCCTACAGCAATTATAACAAATGGACCCAGTTAAACATAGCAAAATAGACAAATCTTAGAAATATACAGTAATTTTAAGAAAAATAAAAAATCACATAAAGCATGTACTCTTACAAAGTCAAAACAAACAAAATAAAACAAATTTTCTAAGAACACACATAGAAGTGACAGAATTAAGAAGTAAACCAAGAAAATAATAGACACTAATTTACCTCAGGGTTAAATAGGAAAGAATCACATACATCTCAGTTACCTACCACAGTGCTACATTTTCGCAGCTAGGGGTGACTTCATGAGTACTTATTAGTATGAATAATATGCTACAGAGGCACAGGACGAATAGGAAGGACATTAGGAGGAAAGAGTTAATGATGCTTCTCAGAGAGCTGAGGAGCTGGGTTGCAGTGAGCACTTCCTTATATCCAGCTTGGGATCCTTCTCTACCGTGTCACAGTATCTATATAAGACAGAAAGTTCAGAATTTAAGTTCTCATTTTAAAAAATCTGTATCCATCACTGTCCAATCTGATGATCTCCTTTATCAGTCCATTGGTATCTAGTAACTTCAGGTTGTCTCAAGGGTTCACATTAGCCTCCAAAAGATAAGGTTTGTTGGGAAACACAGATGAGATTAGATTAGACCTTAAAAAAAGAAGACAAATGACAACAGAGGACATGAAGTTGGGGTTGGTGGTAATAATGTGGGTTAGAGAGGGGGAGGAGGTCTGACAGTGACCAAAAAACATTGTATGAAATTCTCAAATTAATAAAAAATATATTTAAAAAAAATACATGTCATGCTCCTGCTGAAAACACACACACAAAAGAAGTGGTATGCAGGCTCTGAAGGCAAAAGCGCTCTGAATTATCCGAATTAAGGAGTTTGTGTTTGGCTTCCAGATAACCAACCTTCCGGAGTGGTCTCCTAGGAGATGAAACACAGTTGGCTGTGGATATTGTTTAAAAACCAGGCTCATTACCTGTAGCAGAGACTCTCTGCAAAGTACAGCCACAACATTGCCTTCTGCCTAGCATCCATACCTGTTCATGGAAACCCAAACTTTGGACCAAAAGAATCTCTTTCCTAGGAAGAACTGGAATCCGGCGCCCTCTTGTGCACTGCAATAGCTTAGTTCTTAGGTTCTGATTTCAGCATGTTCAAATTTTGTTTCAACATTACAGAGTTTAAATGACAAAGAAACTAGTGTGAGTAATTTGCTTGCTCTTACTAAACTGATTACAATATAACATGTCAAAAATGTGGCTTCAGACATTGTCAGGTTAATAACTACAAATTAATACTGTGGGTAAAAGACATTTTTATTTTGAAAATGTTTTGAGTTAGTTGAAGAAAATTAATCTAATGGAACAACAAGGTCAGTGGCCAATTTAAAGAGCCAGGCCTATCGAGGAAGAATTCTTATGTCGTTAGAGAACACTTATCACACTCAGTGACACAATAGCAACACATAGGCACTTAAAGATGTACCCACCTCCTGACTCATCTCTCCGATACTGTGCACAATACAAATGAAGTCAGTGAGGATCACAGGAGGGAAAGAAAACGCGACAGTCCTGGCTGTGTGCTTCTTCAGTGTGACCTACAAAAAGACCCTTGTCTCCACACTATTTACTTTTTGCCCACAAAATTATCTGAATGTTCCCAGAATCTTCCAACAGATGCAAACATTTTCAACATGCTCATGTATCCAAATAGGAACAGAAATGTTTTCAAAGACAAGTTTGCAATCTATCTGCTAACACACTCACACATTTAGCTGAATGCAGGGAACAGCAGTATTTAGAGGCTTCCAAAGTACATGGAGTTCTATTAGTTAAAGCACTAAAGATTCCGTATTTTTCTTGTCTCATTTTTTGGCCGTCTTTACAATGCTTTGCTCTTCCTTTCACTAAGGCAGTGTGTGGGACCAACCAGGGGAACTGACGTGAATTAATGAACTCAGATTAGATTATTCTGAGTTCTGCAGTGTGAGTCCTTATAGTGCTTTAGTTCAGGAGGTTCAAATAGGAGGTCATTGGAAAGACTGGCTCAGAAGGGTGAAGAGACCAGTGGTCCCCCTTTCCTTGTGCTTTGGGGGAGAAACACCCCTCAATGGCTCTTCTCTAATTTCTGCTCTGCTTCCTTAGCCTCTAGGGCCAACAGCACTGGCATTCTACCACCTAACCATATGGGTGCACACAGCTTCTTCTGGTACATCTTCTTAAGACAACATCATGCAAGGCCATTTGCTTCTGTACTCAATAACTCCATGACTCTGACCCCCAACTCCATCTCAGTCAGGCCTTTTCTTTTATGTTTGTAGTGCTGATACCCATATCATATTTCACATTTTATATTATATGCATACCTTTTTGAAACCATAAGGTATAAATAATATGCTGCTCTGAAATGGTAATAACTCTATCTTCAAGAATTGGTTTTCTCTTTTACTCAGTAAAAATCAGTTCTCCTAGCACTTTCTAAGGGCTCACTATTGCAGCACACACCATTCTGAGAGTGAGGAACAGAGGTGAATGGAGCTCACCAGGAGAATGCTCGAATAAGAAGTCTTTAAGTGAAGGGATGTGAAAATGTTACTTTTAAAGCTATTATTTACAAATCACAATACTAATTGCTTAATAGGTGAGACTATTTTAATTTTGATAATGAAAAACATTCTTTTTCATATTCTTTTAAAGTTGACTTCTAATAGTAACAGTAAACAGAAAAGCTCACCTGATCTTATACTGATGTAGTTTACACTACAATGGAAACATAGGCAACAACCACACAAGCAAATGGCAAATGCAGTGAACGAATGCTGCAAAGAACAGCAGTGAGCTGAACACATGCACGGCAGGATCCACTGGGGGAGCCGGGACAGACCGAGTGTCAGCAGTGACCCTGGGGAGAGCTCAGTGAGCACAGAGCCCAGGAGGGAGATGTGTAGAAGACGGGAAAGGGCAAGGGGCAGAGTGGTTGGAAATCAGGACAAAGAACAAGAAAGAGCCCAGGGCCCAGAGTTCCAGGCAACTTCTAAGAATAGGATTTCAGGGGCTGGAGAGGTGGCTCAGAGGTTAAGAGCACTAGCTGCTCTTGCAGAGGACCCAGGTTCGATTCCTAACACCCACATGGTGGCAGACAACTGTCCTTAACTCTAGTTCCAGAGGAATCTGATGCCGTCTTCTGACCTCCATGGGTATTGTACAACACTGGTGCACTTACATACATGCAGACAATACACTCATACACATAAAATAAAAATAATAAATAACATATTTAAAGAAGAACAGAATTTCATCCTGAAAACAACAGCCAGTGAAGAATTCTAACAGTGTTACTATTAAACATGAGGTCACTTAGGCAGAAGATTCAGCAGTCACAGATCTATAGCAGTAGGCTAGTAAATACTGATGATTCTCAAACACGTCCTACAAAACTTTATCCACATACTGTATTTATCAATTAACAATCATAGTATTTTCCACTCATTGTATTTCTATGAAATGAAATAGTATTTCTGCACTGTAATATAATGTCAATTATTTTCCAGCTTAATATAAAATAGAATTTACAGTACACTGGAAGTTAGAAGTTACTAAATCACAAGATGCAAAAACTTTTAAGTACAATTAAGTAAACCTGGATAATGATAGCTTGATTTTTAACACTCTGCATTTTGTAAAACATGTATTGGTACAGAGAGGAACTAGATAAAATGAAAACAATATGAAATTATAACACAAAACACAAAACTTACAGAGCTCAAATACTGTAAATTAAAATTATGCATTAATTATAAATTTAATATAACTTTAATTAGTAAGCTGAAATATGCCTGCAAAGAAGGCTGAGAAATCAAGTAACCATCTGTAGCCTTTACCCTCTCAGCATCTAATCTACATAGTGACTGTGTCCTACTGACAAAGATTTTTGGCTATTCAAATTTGTTATACTTTTTCAAATGATTCTACAGCAATCCACGAAGATAACTGGCAAACAGAAAATACTTTAAATATTTCAGCAATGTGGCTTAAAATTTACTTTTGCATAGACAGACAGCAGCTAATCCTAGTGATAACAGAAAGTTCAGAATCTTTGGTAGCTGGTTACCAGACAGGCATCACATCTGGGAACCACACTCTTCCCAGGTACTTAGAGACTTCAGTGTGAACTTCATCTGGGTTATAACTGTCATCAGAGATGAGAACTTCCTCCATGATACACAGCTGGGTTAGCCTTCTGCCACAGAGTTTTACAAACTCAATAAACGCACTACAGCTAACCTCACATTCACTGAGGCCTAAGGCTGTTAAATTTTTACAATGTTCAGCAATACAAATAAGTTCATTATCAAGAGGCTGGAGACCATTTGCACACACGACTAGCTCAATTAGTCGTGGGCAGTTAAGACCTATCCGGCCTAAAATGGTTTTGCTTACTGAACGCCCAAAATAAAGGTGAGTAACAGGGGTTTCTTCTTTGAAGAATGTCTCAAATTCCTCTTCATATAAAAAGAAGTACATGACAACATTAACTCCAGGAGAATGTTTAATCAGTGCATCCCAACTGTGCTTTTTAATAGAATGAAACTTAATCTGTCCAGGATTTTCACTTACAACATCAATTCGAAGATGTTCAAGGTTAACGTGAGTCTCCCTTGAAAGTGCAAGGAGAAGTTCATCACTTAGAATGTAGTAATTCAATGCCAGTTCTCTGAGACCTTGACAGTGGTCAGCTACACAAAGAATTCCTGTAGGAAATTGGGGAAAACTCTTAAAAACAAAGAATCCAACTGATACTAAAACAGATTTTGTAAATTTATATTTTATATTAGCTATTCATCTGCTACAACACATATCTAATGATGACTGAGGAAATAAAAGGTTGCTAAAAATATACCATTATGAGGCTGGAGAGATGGCTCAGTGGTTAAGAGCACTGACTGCTCTTGCAGAGGACCCAGGTTCAATTCTCAGCACTCACATAGTGGCTTACAACTGTCCATAACTCCAGTTCCAGGGAAATCCAATGCCTTCTGACCTCCTTGGGCATTGCATGACATGGGTGCACTTACACACATGCAGGCAATACACTCATTCACACAATATAAAAATATAAAAAAATTAAAAAAAAAGAAATTATATACCAGTATCCCTTATGAACACAGATGCCAAAATCTCAACAAAATATTTGTAAACCTCAGTGGGTAAAGACCTTGCTGTGCAAGCATGATGCCCTGAGTTTGGATCCCCAGAATGCACGTAAAGCTGGATGTGGTAAGATGTGTCTGTAATGCCAGTGCTCCTATAACAGATGGAGGTGGAAACAAGAAGATCCCTGGAAGCTTGTGGGCCAGTCAGCCTGGTGTATACAGTGGTCAACAACAAGCTTGTCTCAGACAATGGGGGAGGTGAGGATCTCTGCCTGAGTTCTGCATGTGCTACAGCACATGTGCACCTGCACTCCAAAGATGAACACGCATACACACACACACACACACACACACACACACACACACACACACACAAAACATACTTGTAAACCAAATATAAAAAAACATCAAAAAGATATTTACCATGAGCAAGCTGGCTTTATTACACAGATGCAAGGATTGTTCAAAATATGCAAACTGAGGGGCTGGAGAGATGGCTCAAAAATTAAGAGCAGTGACTGATCTTGCAGAGGACTGGAGTTTGATTTCCAGTACCTGCAAGGCAGCTAACAACAGTGCTTAACTCCAGTTCCAGGGGATCTGACATGCTCTTTTGACCTCTGCAGGCATTGCATGACATGGGTGCACTTACTTACATGCAGGTAATACACTCATACACACAAAAATAAAAATAATAAATAAAATATGTAAACTGATCAATGTAATAATACATCACATAAAAGGACTCAAGGATAGAAATCATATGATCATCTCAACAGATGAAGAAAAGAGCTCTGACAAAAATGCATCATTCCTTCAAGATAAAAGTTCTGAAGAATCCGGGGATGGTGGTGCATGCCTTTAATCTCAGCACTCAGGAGGCAGAGGCAGGAAGATCTATGAGATCCTGGTCTATATATCAAGTTCCAGGCCGGCAGGGGCCACAGGGAGACTTTGTCCTCAAAATGCAAGCAAAACAAGTAAACAAAAGTTCTGGAGAAACTGGGAGCGCATGGAACGTATCTCAACATAATAAAGGCTATCTAAGACAAACCTGTAGCCAACATTATAGTAAATGGGGAAAAACATTCCCATTCAAAGTATCCCACTCAAATGAGGAGCAAAGCAAGGCTGCCCATTTTCTCCACTCTTATTTAATAAGTCTTAGCTAGAACACTAAGATAAGAGAAGCAAATAAAAAGAATATAAATAGGAAAGGTACACAAAAGAGACCACAGAGACTCTACCAGAAAACTTTTGGAGCTGATAAACACTGATAAAAATGACCGGATGCAAAATTAACACACAAAAATCAGTAGCCTACCAATAACAAATATGCTAAGGAAGAAATTAGGACAATTCCAGTCATAATTGCCATACACAAAAAATACCTCGGAATCAGAAGACACTAGAAAATGGAAAGACCACTTGTGCTCATGTGTTGGAAAAATAATATTATGAAAATGGCTACCTTACCAAAAGCAATGTATATTTAATGCAATCCCCATCAAAATTCTAACACATAATAGAAAATAACAACCTTAAAATCCAGCTGGAAGCACAACTGACCTTAGATAGCCAAAGCAATTCTAAGCCCCAAAATATTAAGGCTGGAGGCATCAACTTATCTACATCAGGATATATTTCAGAGCCACAGTAATAAAACCATCATGATACTGGCACAAAAACAGACATGTAAATCAATGCAATAGAAGAGTGGACACAAATATAAGCCCACACAGTTACAATCACCTGATATTTTACAAAAATGCTAAAAATGCATATTGAAGAAAAGACAGCCTCTTTAATAAATGGTGCTTGGAAAACTGGGTATCTCCATGTAGAAGAATGGAACTAGACTCTTAACTTGAACACACAGTAACTCCAAATGGATCAAAGACCTTATCACCTGAAACTTAGAAACTGCTAGAGGGAAAAGTAGGGAGTACCTCCAGATATGGGCATAGGCAAGGACTTTCTTAATAGGACTGCAGTCACTCAGGAAACAAGGCTAACAATGAACAAATGGGCCCTGATGAAATTATAAAGCCCCTGCACTGCAAAGGAAATCTGTACACTGATTGACAGAAAGTCTTCACCAGCTATATCTGATGAGGATTAATATCTGGAATGTATACTAAAAAAAAAAAATCAAGAACACAAACAACCCAATCAAAGAATGGGCTATGGAACTGAATAGAGTTCTCAAAAGAAGAAAAACAAATACTTATTTTAAGTGTTTAACATCCTTAGCCCACAGGGAAATACAAATTAAAATTATTCCATCTCCTTCTGCTCAGAATGGCTATCATCAAGAAAACAGATAATAACAAATGCTGGTGAGGATGTAGGGAAAGGGGAACCCTTATTCACTGTTGGTGGGAGTATAAACTGGGACAGCCACTATGGAAATCAGCATGAAACCATCTCAAAAGGTTATAAATAGAACTACCGTAATATACATATAGATACACAGCTATACAACTTCTGGGTATATACCCAAAGGACTCTATATCTTACAACAAAGATTTAGACATCCATGTTCATTGTTGCTCTATTCACAGTAGCTAGGAAATGGAACCACCTATACATCCATCAGCTGATGAATAGATGATGAAAATGGTGGGGGGGCAAGTTTAGTAGAACACGTAAAGGAGGGGAGTACTGGAGTCAGAAATCTGGTTTAAGTGGGAATGATAGTGAGGGATGGGGGAGGACTAACCCAAACTAAGCATGTGTAAAAAGCCATATGGAAACCCTATGCAGATGAATAATGCTGATCCTAGAAACCATAAATTATTAAACAAAAATCCTACTGCCAGGGCTGAGATTCTACCCTAGGAGTTGCTGGTCAGGGATGTCCCTGAGGTGCCCCAAACAAAGAGCCAACTGCCAATACTCTTCTTGGTTGTCCATCAGAACTAGATAGTAAGACACTGTTGCTGAAGATAGCACATGCTTTGGCTATAGTGTGTAGAGAAATCAAGCTGGAATTTAGCTGGGAATGTCTTGCTGGCTAGCTTTCATAGAGCTGGAAAGTGCTATGAGGGCTACTCAGGGAGAAAAGGCATCAATAGTCTTATCCAGCTGTGAACTCCATGTGCTACACAACCAACCTGCCAGGCAAGAAGTGTCTGGTCAATAGTGGCATGACTGTTATGGGAGTGACTAACCACTTTTGAATTGTATTTGAAGCCTGCTTCACAGAAGGGAATTCAGCCTGGTGCTATAAATATGGTTACAAGTCTGGGACTGGGGAGGTGATAGGTACTAGGATGGACGCTTCTACTGCTAAATGGACATGCTATGCCCATCAAACGGCCCTCTAGATATTTATGTGTATGTCCATGGGTTAGTGTTCCTCTTGGCCTTGGTTAGAGAAGCCTTGTTTTGCAATGGCCAGCAGTTACTGTTGAGACTTACAACTGGTCAAAGTGCTAAGAAGTTACTGCTGAGTGCTCAGCCCTAAACAGGACATCAATATCACCCCCTCAGGATTCAGGGAATGGTGCAGAAGAGGGAGTTCAAAGAATGGAAGAGCCAGAGGATGGCAAAGTGTGCCGCAGAATACTGTCTTCTGGACATGACGTGGGTGTTGTACTCATGAACTCATGACATCTATGGTTACCTGTCCTAGACTGATCCTGACAATATTCCATTGTGGGTAGGGGAGGAGTTCGTGAGGTCAAAACCCTCCCCAAGGAGCTCTTTGCAGTTAACTGCTGCTGGGAGAGAAGGAGGTACTTTCTTCAGTGACAGAGTCACAGGTAAGTTGCCCGTGCTACAATAAATAAGCCCCCATCCATGCTCATGAAAATAATCTTAATTAAGCCTAGCAGATAGACAAGAAATTAGAAGGGTGACCAGCTGGGAAGAACAGGGGTTCACATAAGGGATGAACAAGAGAAGGCAACTGAAATGAACATGACCAATATATATATATATAT